CTTTATGATGATTTATATTCCAGCTTGGCACAGGGATAGCAAATTTGTGCTTCTTTGGCTCTTCTGTTGTCTTACTGAGTTCAGAATCATATCTGTACCTTTCTTTTAGAAGGTATCATTTCTGTACCTTTTAGAAAGGATCTATCTTCCTTTCTAAATCCATTTAGGAGCAAATTCACTAAAGCCTGGGAGAAACAGGGACCCATACAATATATCCTCCAATTCACCAAATCAGTAGCATATTGCTTTCTATTCAGCCCTCTGGGAGAAGAGCACTTTCCACCTAGATGTTTAGAAGATTTGCCTCTTAAAAAAGAATAATTGTTTACAAGCTAAGAAGCATCTCTTAGGTTTCTGCCCAGAAGCTTGAATGACTTCCCTACTCTTGTTCAGCTATATATTGGAATTTCAGTCGGTTTCATTTCAGAATGAAATGAAAGAGCTTAGTCAGATAGGTCAGTTTGGTGACCATATAAATGTATTTGAAGTATGTTTAACAGCAATCTTTAGCATTTGTATTTCCTTACAGAGTTCATGGGGACACAATGCCCATGTAGATTAATGCATTCAGTAATTATGTCCTAAATTATCTTACTGTTTCCCTAGACTATAAAACAACATATGAAAGAAATATTTTTCAAGAGCAAGCTTAGAAAGTTTGGTTCTTGTTTCATGTTACCTGTAAAATCAACACATTTTCACAACTTTAAATAGAAAAAAAAAACTTGATAAATATAAATTTAATTTAAATATGTGGATGCTTTAGTTTTCAGGGACAGCGCTGTGATTGTTAGTTCCTGGGAACTGAAATAATTCCTGGGAATTATTTAGTTCTTGAATAAATATAGTATAGTACAGCTGAAATGTATGTATAGGTCTATTGAATATGGTTCTTTACAAGTACTACTACTGAAGAGATTAGGTCTTCCCTACAACCACTGTCCATTCTTTTTCCTTTTCATTAGGAAAAATAGTATTTTCCTATTTCTTTTTAAATAAATCATGTCCTCCATGTAAAAAAAAAAAGGAGAAATTACAAAGATTTCCCAAGGATATATGAGTGAAACTGTCAGCAGTCCCTAGCAGTAGTAGAGTAGTTAGCTCTGATGTTTCTGTCTTTGCACTGCTTTTCTCTGAGAGTGCCTCTAGGACTTGGGAGTTAGAAGTATAAAAAACAAGTATAAACAAGTATGTTTAACAAGAACACACACAACAAGTTTTATTGTGCTATAGTTACATGGTTTAATTTTTCCTAGTGGTCCAAGGAACTGGAAGGTCTAAGTCAATTCCCATTAAGGTAAGAGAAGACAAAAAAGCTTTTAGTAATGCTGGTGTTACTTTGCTGTGAAATGCACTGGCATTTAGTGAATATGAATTTAATTGTACTTACAAGATTTGGGCTCATTTTAATTCCTTGTCAGTTATGAACTAAAGCTGTAGATCTCACAATTCTAAATAATCAGTATAATTATCTGAAAATTAATGGTGTTTGGAAGACATTGCACTGCAATTACCATACATAGTTCCAAGGGCTTAAGACTGTCTCCTAAGCTCAAGTTCTCAGAGGGGGTAGATCTGACAAGGATTACAAATGTGCTGTCTCCCTTGGGCTGGAAGGATGCAGATGCCTCCAGTATCTTCCATGGATAGCTAGTTCTGCTAAACTGTAGAACTTTCAGGAGTGCAATTAGGTAATCTCCTAAATTTGCTGGTTTGGATGCCCTCAGAGTGGTCAGCTAGAGCTAATCTTTAGTAAATAACTAAATAAATCAACATCTTAAACTAGTGCAAGACAAAACACTGAGGACTTGGTGATATTGAGACCTTTGTAGCACAAAACATGGATGGATGCTTATTTTCTCTGTAATATGGCCTTTCTGTTTAAACAGTTCTGTGCAGTTGTAAAATCCAGTTACCCATCTGAGCTGAGTCTTTCCAGTAATGTGTATGCTTTTGTAGCACACAAACAAACTACACAGACAAAATAGAGGGTTTCTAATGCACTCTGAAGGCAGCAAGATCTATGAAAGTTCAGTTACCTTTATAGGTTACTGGTGGCGTGAGTATGCACTTTGCAGGTCTCTGAAGACTTACAGAACAAGGCTAACATCACTTCCCAGCAGCTAGCACTTCAGTCTTATTTGAGACTACTGATGAGTCCTGGAAACATCCAGAAAGTAACTGATTATATCCCTCTGTCTCAGGAAAGCATGCCATCACTTGCTCTAAGCCTGGCACCAAATTTCAGTAACTGTTATAAATAATAGTAATGTTAAAAGAGGACAACATTAACCTGACTTAACTGGACTTTGCTACAGGCTCTTAAAATCAGAATAAACTTTTGTTTCTGTAGTCAAAAGTAATGGAGTGGCACAGAGCAGTAGAGAATAGAATAGAAATAGAATAGAAATAGAATGGAATAGAATAGAATAGAATAGAATAGAATAGAATAGAATAGAATAGAATAGAATAGAATAGAATAGAATAGAATAGAATAGAATAGAATAGAATAGAATAGAATAGAATAGAATAAGAGAACAGAATTGGAAGGGACCTACAGTGGTCATCTAGTTGACAAATTCAGGGCTGACCAACAGTTACAGCACATTGTTAAGGGCATTGTCCAAATGCCTCACAAATACTGACAAGCTTGGGGCATTCACAATCTCCCCAGGAAGTCTGTTTGAATATTCTCTTGGTAAAGAAACACATCCTAAATTTCAGTGTGAAACCTCCTTTGATCCCATTCTGAACCATTCTGATGCATCCCTGAATCCTAGTGGGAAGGGATCAGCAGCTCCATCTCCTTGTCCCCTCCTCAGGAAGCTGTATAGAGCTATGAGTTTAACCCTCAGCCTACTATTCTCCAAGCCAAAGTTCTCAGCCCCACTTCACAAGCCATGCCTTCCAGGCTATTCCTCAGCTTCGCTGGCCTCCTCTGAATGCATTCAAGGACCTAAATTGTGGGGTTCAGACCTGCACAGAATACTCTAAAAGGGGCTTACCAAAGCTGAGTATGACGAGATAACCACCTCCTTTGTCTGGCTGGTTATGCTGTTTTTGAGGTATTCCAGGATGCAGTTTGGCCACACAGCTGCCCAGATACATGGCTGAGTCACACTTACCTTAATGTTAGCCAGCACTCACAGGTTATTCTCTGCAGGGCTGCTCTCCAGCCACTTCACTCCCACTTTACATTTACCCCTGGTCTTTCTTAATCCCCAGTGCAGAATCCAGTATTTCACCTTCTTAAATTTCATCCCATTAATCATAGCTCTGATCTATCCAGATGCATCTGCAAGGCCTTTGGTCTCTCAAGAGGGTTAACAGCAGCTCCCAGTTTGGTATCATCAGCAAACATGCTCATGGAATACTTAAATCCTATATGCACATTGTTCTTAAATATATTGAACAGAATTGGTCCTAGGACTGAGCCCTGTGGAACAGCACTGTTGACTGGCCACCAGCCAGATGTAACCCAGTTAATTGCAACTGAGCACACCTGGGCTGTGGAGATGTGCTGCTTCAACTGGAATTTTCTATCAGAGAGAAGGCAGCATGAAAATTACTCTACTACTGATACACTTTCATTAGTCTTAGACAAAAATCAATTTATGATAAACTAAATTGATTTAACTGAATGTTTTGGTATTTTTCTTACACTAGACTTAAGTTACTCTTCCCAAAAGGAAGATACTGATGGACCACCCACACAGACTGGCATTAATATCCTAGATCCAGTTTTCCCTGTTCAAGGAATTAAATTTAAATTGTTGCTGTTTTCTATCAATGTCAATATTTTCTTTGTAGTCTACTTACATATTTCCTCAAGATTTTTTGTTTTCTAATATTCTAAATATTCTTGGAATTTGTGAGTGACTAATTTCCAATTCTCTTCAAGTCTTTACTGCTGAGCTCTCAAGTTTCCTGCATATGTATTATTATAGATGCAAATTGAGAATAAATCTGGGGGATTTTTTTTAAGGTGAAAGTTTTCAAGTGTTGCTTCGTCCTCTTTGATGATATCATTCAGCTCTGATTGGGAAACCAAGTCTGTTTATGAGGTCACTTTCAGTTTTAAATTGAAATGACAGTATGCTTAATTGTCCCTTTTTTGCTCATCATTGAGGAACTTGAAACTAAATTATTAAGTATCTTACAAGATTTGCAGTGCACTAGTAGGTCAAATTCCAAATGAGTTGGAGAGGCATTCTCCCAAAGACAAGGAGACTGAATGTTAGTTTGTAGGTGAGTGAAACTGAAGTTTCAAGTTAAAAATGAAAAATGAAAGCAGACGTATTGATGACCCTGGAAAGGAAGATTTCTTTTTCAAATTGTGAAGGCCATCTCACTTCAGTATTTATATTTCTATTGTGTACTGAAGGGATGAGTAAGAAGCATTTTTATTACACCATTGTGAAATTTGCAATTTTGCATGAATTGATTTTGTACCTTGAATGAGTTATCCCATGAACTTAACGTTTCCACCTTTCTTCTACTTTTTGCTCTCACTCGACAGAACAGGAAAATTATTCCTGTTGTATAGTCTGATGCCATGAATGTCCTTTTTATAATTTAATTATATAAATAACCAAGACTAGTGTGTTTTACAGTACATTTCCGTAAGCAAACTAGATGGAATGCTTTTTAATAACCCTACAGCCATTTAATGATTTTTATACTTGCCATTTGAGGACAGTTTGGATATAGATATAGAATTACCTAAAGTACTGCATATAAATTAAACATTAAAAACGTAGATACAGCCAGGCTAAGCAGCTCAGTTATAATCTTTGGTTATGCAGTTACTGCCTCAAGGATACTTCATCCACTTCATATCATATGTCCTTCTTTTGAAAGATGATCAGTGGGTTCAAGTAACATTTCAGCACAGAGGAAATTGCATAATTTATAGACTTTCCAAAATGAAAAACAGGAAATGAGTTTCATTAAATTAAGTCTTCCACTCCTTTTTTTTTTTCTTTTCTGCTCTTACAGATTGGAACATTGAAGGACTACTACCACTTCTACCATAGTAAAACAATTAAAAGGTCAGTTCTCTCAAGTAGAGGTACCCACAGCTTCATTTCAATGGAACCAAAGGTAAGAAAATCCATGCATGTGTCTGGGGAAAAAGCCTTTGCATTTTTTATATGAAATACTATACCAGGCGACGTTCACCTGAATGGCATATAGCATTACAAGTATTACCCTATCTGTTTTCTAAGGTTCTACTTCTCATTAAAACAAAGTGAAGAAGATACCCATGGTATTAAATATGTGCTATTCTTGGAACATAACGTCAACCATTATTCCTGAATGAGTAGTTGAATTTTGATAACGCACTCATTACTGTGTTATGCTTCTCGGTAAAATTGTAAGATTTATGTCTGCAGATCCCTTCTGTGAAGCAACCAGCTTTAAAAATAAAAATGGACAATTTGGTATGTTACAATGTTAAGAGGAAAATTGCTCTTGCTTTTTTTCTTCTCTTCTTCTGGTCTAGGTCTATGAGGGATTAAAAAGAGTACTCTTTTCTGTGATCTCTTTTCTGTGATCCTTTTGGTTTCACTGATCTTAATGTTAAGATCTGTGTGAAAAATGGTGCCATTTCTTTGTAGCATACACTATAATAGATAACTGTCAACACAATTTAATTACTGGTTTATAATTAAGTATAATATCTTGTATCCTACCCACAACACACTTTTGTTTGAATCTTTTAATTTCAATGATGAGTAGCTTATTCACTGACTGGAGAATTGGATTGCCTCTGGTTTTTTTTTTTTAGAAAAAAAAGTTTGGTGAAGATCCCATTAGCTTTTTTTATGCTGTTCATGCAATGCAGTCTTGCCAACAAGCCCCCAGGCCCCTGGTGTGGTAATAACAGAGTCAAGCTTTTATAAATTATTGGATGATGAATGTTCTCTGTGAAGGATTTGTCAGGTTTTACTTAACAAATCATTCATGAGAAGTAAAAGTTACTGGTGAAAGAGTTTGAACACTGTACAAATTGAGCATCATATAGGAATACTTCTGCCATCTGGAAAACTGTGTTTAGGTCTGAAGTTCCTCTTGAGGATGGGACAAGACCTGGAATGTACACAAAAAACTGTGTTCAATCCTCTGTTGATAAGGGTGAACTGCTTAACCCTTTGAGAGCACCAGCAGCTCTGCTGAGCAGTGTATACTGGGGGTTAATATAAAAGTGATCGGGGCCCAAATCTCTGTTCCCATAAGTACTGAGACCCACTCTTCAAACAAGCACTGCACGTAGAATAGGTAAGATGCAAAAGGAAGGGAAAGTTCACTTCTGCATCAGTCCATGCTCTTTCTGTATGCACAGAGGTGGAGGGATTGACACACGAATGCACAAATTCCTATGCATGTACCACCCTAAACTGTGGTGTTATGCCCAGCTCCCAGATACACCATCTGCACCTCTGGCAGGTCGTCTAGACTACTTTGTCCAGAATAGTGAGAGACAATAAAGGCAGAACACTGCCAAAAATCAAAATTAAAATTTATTTATTATGTTGTTTAGGTCTTGTCTCCAGTCTATGCTGCTGGTATAGAATTTCTAAATTTCTGAACCATTGTTACATATCACTTCAATATTGAAAAGCTGTAGTGAGAGTTGTACTCAACCCTGTTAATGATTCTGTACCCAAAGAGAAGCTGATGGTTTAATAACTGGATGTTGCAAGAAGTGTTTGTATGATTCACTTTGTGACTGCTTTACTGAACCTGGGTTTTGGAATTCTTATGTGGCTGCAGACATGTCAATAAATTGACATGAATTTGTAGCATAAAGACCATGTTGTCCTCGGTGTGTATAACATTTAATGAGTATTAAAGCAGACTGGCAATTTAATTACTCTATATAAGCTGGTTCTTTTAAAACAAAATATTTAATGTTAAATAAGACCCATTGCAATGCTGTGAGAATTTGAAAGGACCACACGCTACTATATGTATGAATGGAATGGTATCTAATGCCAATATTTGCTGCAGATTAGTCAGCATGGGTATTTGGGAACAAAGCAACACTGAGGTTTGTTTACAAATAACTTAATGGTAATTCACTTAGGCTAAAAAAGCTCTCCCTGTTATGTGTACATGGAATTAACCTGTTCTGTGTTGCTTCAGACATGGATCACTAATTTGCTTCTTTACAAAATTTTAAAGTATGGAATTCTGACTGAGTGACAATTTTTTATGTAAATAGCCTGCATATAATGGAAGAAATTATGAAATTTGGCATTTCTAAGATATTGTCAGTGTTTGATTTCATTGTGTGAATGCACAATGAAAGGCGTAAAACTCACAGAAAATCTTGTTATTGTGGATTTAAATTAATTAATTGCTTTGAAAACCTTTTGTTAGATTTTCTTCTTCTGGAAAAGCCTCTTGACACTGTTATAAACAATATGAATAGATGCAACAGGGAACATAATAACTAGATGTGCTACTTAGTGCTGTGGTCTAGTTGATAAGATGAGGGTTGATCAAAGGTTGGGCTTGATGATCTTCGAGGTGTTTGTCATCCTTTATGATTTTGTGATAAACCGAAGACATGTGGATTGCACATTTTGACACTTTCCCCAGCATTAGCCTGTATTAACCTCATATCATCCCTGTTTAGAAAAAAGGTAAAGGATGTGCAGTATAACACAGTTTTGTCAATTGTCATCCACATCCTTACCTAGCAATGCTACATGTAGTCATTCAGCGAAGAAAAAGTTTAAACATAATCTTCTTATGCATAAGAATGGCTGTAATTTCCTTAAATAGATTGTAATGGAGAAAATTTGAAACATAGCTTTAGTCATCTTTCTCAGACAGTGAATAGTTATGTGGTGTTTTGCATGTCCTAATGGGAAAACATAGAAGTAGAAGAAGTCTGTGGATTTAAAGCAGAGATCAAAGCCAAATGAATTAAATCTCTTTACAAAGATTTCTGGTCTCTCCAGCTTATGTGCTGTTTGTGGTTATTTTTGGCAGGGGTCAATGAGAGTACCACACCATGAATCAAGAGGTTTTTTTTGCTTTAGAATTTGCTCTGCAAAGTTACTTTGGTTGATACTATAATTCATGAAACAATGGGAGTAGGAGCAAAAAAAAAATGTGGGAAGATGTACAGATAGTCGAAAGGTATCATGAGGCTTTAACTCAGCTATTACATAGTTGAGTGTATTGATGGTAGACTATCTGCTGAAACCACATTATAACAGTATTTGCAGGGATGAGAAGACCTGAGGTATCCCTCTGGGTTTGCTGCACTGGTGAAATGAAGAATCACAAAATGGGAAACATTGCAAGCAAAGATTGAAACCACAGTCTGAGGCCAGACTTTTCATCAATAAAAACTATGAGGGAAATCAGGTGGAGCTTTTCTATTAGTAAAGTGATTACAATTCAAATGAAATGTGAGAGTTGAAGTGTCTATGAAAGACAGTAGTACATGTAAATTAAATGGACAGCACAGCTGGAAAACTATCTTTTTATTCTGAAGTATTGTATAAAATGAGGAGTTTTTAGTGAGGTGCTATGATAATGAAATTGTGACTCTTATGGTAAAAAATATCCCATGGAATAGGTAGAATAAATGATCCTAGAAGACAACAGTTCTTAAGGTAATAGAGGGCAGATATAAGATTGATAATATACTCAGACAGAGTATATTATCTAACTAACTAAAGTTTGTTCCATTTTTCTCATGAGCTCCCTGTGGTCTCCCACCACAGCAGAGATCTGAAAAAGACATCTGGCCCACAGTGATGCTAAAAACCATGTAATTAATAATTTGTGTTCCAGTGAAGTGTGATATTAGCTAACTTTGGAGCATTAGTGTTTCTTTATCAATCTCTACTAACATGGTTTCTCATATTTTTCTAACTTCAATGAATTATGGGTAGGTTTATTTGGAGTTTGAATCCTGTTAGATGAGTCACAGAAACATAAAGGTTACATAAAAGAGAAAGATTTACATTCTCACAGAATGAAGAAGTAAGGCTACCTTTACTTATGGAACATACTTTGCTTGAGCACAATTTTGCAGTAGTGTCATGCCTTTGTCAACCCTACTCCAGGATCAGAATACCTGGGAAAACGTTACTCCAGACGGTTATATTTTACACAGCCTGATCTAACCACACACAGTGTGTTGCAGTATGATAGGAGAGAAACTTGTATCTTTGCCATATCAAGAATATCAGAACTCATGGTATCAGCATATAAAATGCTCGCAAACATATCTTCGATGACACCAAATTATATGGGCTGTTTTCAGAGGATAGGCAAGTAATTAGGAAGCGAGCCTGTTAAAACCCCCAACTAATCTCCAGTTCTTTTCCAAAAATTAACAATGAGATTGTCTTTGCCAAGGAGTTCTGTAAAATGACTTGGCAAGTGAAAAATTTGAATCTAATCTTTCTTTTTAATGCATTCGAAATTAAATATATTGAGCGGACAAAACTCCTTTGAAGCAGATTCCAACAACTGATTAAATCATGATGAAATCAGGTGAAATCATGATGAAAGGAAATCTAAAACAGTGAATATTTTCCTTTTCAAAAATTATATTACACTGAATTTGTACTGGTCATTTTTCTGCTTCTAGTAGAAAACATCAAAAGGTAATTCCACTAGGAAGCTTCAATGACTATTTTTTGTTTCCTTAAGTACAAACAGCAAATCAGTTATTAATTAGACATTAATAAAGCTTTTGATCTTCAGAAAGAAGCTGGTCTCATTAGTGTTACAATTAACTTCATTAAATGTTTCTACCTATTGTAAATAAGTTAAGAAAAATTACCATTATGTGACAAAATTTGCTGACTGAAGAGTAGATACTTCCTCCTGTAGGAGCAATGGATTTGGCCAGTAGACTGAAAAGAGGAGGCCATATATATTAATGTAGTATTAGTTTTTCACTTCTAGATTACAGTCATCCAAGGTTCATCCTTACACTGATTTTGTATCCTCCACAGACAGAACACTGTTCCTTATGCAGAAAAGGAACACCAAATTTTAGATTGCTCTTCTTCACAATGAAGTCCTGGACAAGCTGTCAGATATCCCATTCCAGAACTCAGCAGTCT